CCAACCTAGATGATTCTATGATTCTATGATTCTATGTTTCTCCTATACATTTTTAGATATTCCCACCTTTTTTAAGACCTAGGTCAGGTACCTATATATGAGCTTGATGAGCATATATGAATTTTCAGAGAGATGTGATTGACCTTAATACATCAACTGTAAGTGGTCCAAATATTACACATAAAATAAGACTTATCAGTATGTAATTCTAGCAGCACCTTCCTTGAAGTACCTGAGGTGATGTGGCAAGTTACTTAGCAGATCTTTAAACCAACTTCTTATGTCAGAAAAATTTCCCTGGTACGTTACCCGCAGTAAGACACGTATGCTTGTCTGTTGACATAGACATGTATTGCTTTTCCAATTTTAAAATGTGACAGTAACTAATAATGCTATTAAATAACTTGTTTCTGAGATGTCACATGGGCTATTACTAGGAAACATTGTGAAAAATGGTCTCCAGAAGTGTAATAAGGAAGTAGTTTTGGACAGTATTGATAGATTTGCCCTTCAACAAAGTGAACTGTAGTGGTGTGTGAAGGAATTGTTGTGCTCTTATTCCTGGTAGGAAATCTGGCTATTTAGAAATACCACACATAATTTAAAGTTTTATGTTGTAAGGCTGGAATGTTATTGCAAGCAGTCAACCGTTCCTTCCAGTCACTCTGATGAAGAGATCATGAACTTGCTCTTGCAGGTAATGGGACCCATCCTGGGAAGCCCTGGTACTGCTGAGAAACCTTACTTCACTCTCCTACTCAGGAACACTTGCCAATCAAATAGTCTCTAGGTGTTTAAAGTATTGATTTAGCCAGAGATTTTTCAGTCTGTTTATAGTCCTATATGTTTTGAAGTTTATATCTTTTTGAAATTAATCTCATAAACTGTCTCAGACCCTCCTTCATCTCCTGTTAGTTTTCTCTTCCATCCTCCATCAAGTCACAGATGTAGAAAAAAAGATGTCTGTGAATAGCTACATCATATCTTTGAAATACACGCATGCACAAAATATCCATATATACCCACGTATCTTAATACTGAAGTCTGAGCTAGTTGTCTCAGTTCTTCTTATCTCCTATATAGAGAGACAGATATGTGTATGGAATAAAACATGTCATTTTAAGGGAGATGCTGAACATGGGTCTGAAAATCATCCTCCAGAGCTGGCTGTGTGATTGTGAGCAATGCAGACGTCTGTAATGCAGATCCACAAGGTTGGGTCAGACAAGTCCTGTACAGAGTGACTGAACCTTGACCAGGTGACTGCCAACCTGAGAGGGGACTCAGAGGTGACTTACCTGACGTAATCATGGCGTTTGAGTTGTCATTGATCAGAGTATACAGCAGTATCTTTGCTTCTTGCGTTAAGGTTGAGGTGGATTGTTACTAGAATTTGTGGGAATTAAAGACTTTGTTGTCTGCTTCAGTTCAAGTCTCGATGACCTTGAAGTAGATGGTGGAAGTGGAGGTGTTTCGGACAGATCCCATGTTCACTGTCCTCCCCTTGGCTCTTCAGACACCATGGCTTGTAGCAGAGACGGATTAGACTTATCTACCAGTCTGCAGCCCAAGGTATTTGATACTATCTTGTTTTGTATTGTTTTCCTGCTAAGTAAATCACTGAAAACATGTGAGAAACATCTGAACCTGAAGGGGAAAAATGAGTTCCCAGTTGGCAGTGCTAGTCCCTCTGGAGAGCAGCACGTACATGGGGCTCCCTGGTTGTGGCTGGGCTCAGCAGCAGCCACGGGGAGGGGACATCAGAGATTATTCACTTCAGCTTTGAAAAAAGCATCATTTAACAGAAATGTTTGAAAGGAAGTATCTCAGGTTCAGTGAATCAGCGTTTTCTAACCAAAATATGTTTAGTGAGGAAATGTTTAACCAGCTGTAGTTATGTGAAAAGGTAACAGCTTCGTAAAGTACAAAACCAGCCTGCTGCCTGTTTTAAAACAATTGCTAGACTCAGGGAAATTCAGCTGGGTTTTATGCACTGATCAGTGCAAATCTCTTCATTATGGTTTTCTGAAGTATCCTGGCTACATTAATTTTCATTAGACCATGGTGCCATTTCTGAGATCTTCAGACACATACATAGAGTTATTTTTTGTTCGTAGGGATTCTTTATGTTTCTATTGGACAGACTTTTTGCCACTGTAAAGCGTTATCTGACCTTCAGCAAATGATTACACGAAGGGAGAAAAAGAGTCCAGCACAAACACTGAATTCTGTTAGGGCTACTTTTAAAAACAGTAAGGTAAGCAGCTTAGGAGTAGGCTCTGTTGAAATGTAAATAATGTATCAAAAGTCAGGGAGTTTCCTTTCAAGCCTTATCATTGACATATTTGGGGATTGGAAAATCTTTTCATGCACAACAAAAAAAAATGCAGAAAGAAAAGAGAAAGAGGCTAACTCCTTTCTTTGGAAACTCTGGCATCAATAATTACCAAAGCAGGGTGTTAGTCTACATGAAATGTTCTTGAGGTATTAAAGTGCTAAGATTAATGGCTCCCTTGGTAAAAGAAGATAGCTTGGTCATCAGATACAGTGGCCAACAACACTATTTGCATGGCACTTGCCACCAAACTGGAGAATTATTTAAGCTTTCTCTTAGTCTCTGAGTCTAATTTGCACCCACAAATTATTTCCTGCGATACAGAGAAATTTATCATGGTGGAAGTATTACAGACTTCATAAGAATTCAAATGAAGTTGTCAAAAATTGTGCTTCAACTTAAAGCTTTAATGAATCCAAGAAAACGTATGCGTGTGGTCAGACATCTTTCTTTCAGAAATTCTGTTACATTTATTTTGTTTCTATTGCTGACTCATTTCAAAATTACACAAGTTTTAATTTGCTGCAATTTCTTGTAGGAATGCACAGTGTCTGGGATTCGGTCCCGCTCCTATTCCTGCTCCTCGCCCAAAGGTTTATTAGGAAGGCCTCGCATACCTCGGGACTTTGCAGTTGGGGATTTGAATGAAGGTCAGTGCTCTGGCTTTGCACCTGCACAGCCTCATCCCATGCCTGCCTGCTTCAGGCCCAGTGCTGATGGCTTTACTCAGGCCTGTCCTGTACACAGACCTCGCTAATGTATGTGAAAGCAGGGTTTGGTTGCCTTTGGGTACCCCTATCACTGTCCCTCTCTCTTCTCCTGTCTACTGCCCTGTCATGCTCTCCACTGATACAGGAGCTGATCCTCAGGAGGGGCTGGGAGAACAGTACTCAGAAAAAGTAATGCAGGCAAGGACAGTAATCTTCTTTTCGGAAGATCCTTACCCCAGCTGGGTGCCTGGCAGAGACCACAAGGAAGCTCAGGATGACTCAGAAGAAGTGCATCAAAGAATCATAGAATCGTTTAGGTTGGAAAAGACCTTTAAGATCATCCAGTCCAACCATTAACCTACGCTACCAAGTCCACTCTAAACCAATCAAGGGTAGACTAGACTAAACCATGTCCCGACTAGACTAAATCATGTCCTGAAAAGAGGGCAGATGGCCCCAGCTTCCCATAGATCCTGGGCAATCTCTGAAATGTGGATGGGCTATTGTCATCTCCACAGGCTGGGGAGCAAAACCCACACTCTCCATCAAGTGGAGTCAGAGATGTCTCTGCCAAGAAGCTTGTAATTTTTTACAAATTGTTTCTAACATGTTTCATTTCTAGACACATAGTTTCATATTTAGAAGGCAACCCATGCTTTTCACAAATGAGGGTACAAGTTATATTTGAAAACCATGCAAATCATGAAATACATATACTGTGCTTTTCATATAGATCACATCACTAAAAAACACTTGCATTGCAAGAGACTTGGCCTCTGTCCCTATAACCCTGTCCATGGTCATACTTCCAGCTTGTCTCTCCCTCCAGTGTATCTTTAGCTTTCCACTAGTCCTGAGCAAGAGGCAGGACAAGTGAGCTACAGTGAACCAGATGGGATGGACACCCAGAGAAGTTGTGCATGCGCCATCATTGGAAGTGTTCAAGCTCAGGTTGGACGGGGCTTTGAGCAACCTGATCTAGTGGGAGATGTCCCTGCGCATGGAAGGGGGTTTGGACTAGGCAACCTTTGAAGGTCCCTTCCAACCCAAACCGTTCTGTGATTCTATGACACTGAATGTGAAAACAGACAAAAGTTGTGGAAATGTTGTCGTTAACTTTGAAACCAGTTAACAAATTCAAAAGCTGTTGGGAAGGTGAAATTGAGAAAGCTGATGGGCAGGCATACAGTGACTGTAGACATCTTTTTTCCTTAAGAAACTGTGTTAAACAATGCAGCAAATAACTTGTTTGTGATTGCTCAAATTCACTGTAAGATTTCATGTCCCCTTGTAAGAAGGAGTATGTACTGCAGCCTGCAGCACACAGCTGTGTTGTATTTTTCCCCATCACTTAATGTATTTGTAACCATTTGTATCCAACAGATTAGGTGAGAAGTCCTTGGCAAAACAAGGCAGAAGAAAAAGAGGGAAGTATGTCACAGAAATAGAGGACGGCAGATCAGCAAAGCCCTGTAGCATGCGCTTAAAGTTCAAACAGAATTCCTTTGACCTTGCAGCTAAGGGACTTTTGGTGTCACAGCCTGTTAAGCTTCAGCCAGACACCATTACCTGCTCTGACCTGATCTGGGCTTGGGCCCATGTCCTGTTCATTCTCTCTCCCCTTCCTCCTGGGACAGTCAGTGCTGGACCTTTGCCTGTCTTGTGGAGAAGGTGGAAACGCTTTCTTGTCCACACTTGGGAAACAGGCGGTTCTGCAGCCTGCACCGCAGATGCAGTGTGCTGCTGGGAGGGAGGGTGGTGGTCTGCTGACATAGCACCTCCTGCACCGTCCTTTCCTTGCCAGCATTTTGCAGGGACAGGAATGTTGAACAGTGTTTGGCAGCTGGCAGTGGTGATTACTGTGTGGGGCAGGCACTGAAAACCTGCCCCTTCCCCTCTGCCCAGCTGCCAGCACTTTGGACACCTCCCCCAGCGCTGAGCTATGCAGCGGGGAGGCACAGCTGTCCTTGTATGTTGCAAAGAAACATAAGCCAAAGCAGATGAATGCAGGTTGTCAACAGGATAGTCTTTCTCACACAAAGTGCCAGAAAAAAGGGAAATCGTCATCCATTTCTGATGGAAGCTCTTCAGTATGCTCAGGTTTAAAACAACTACCTGCTTTTTTTCAAGAAGGTATTACCAGGCTGTAACAGTAAAGGATTTGTCCCTGCTCTGTAGATGGTGTGCTCATGAACAGTGGTCGATCCCTCCTTCAGGCTCTTTCACTCTCTAAGTCAGTGTCTCTGCTCCACCCTTCTAGTAAGTACCTCAATGCCAACCACATGGCGCTGTTTTGCATGAGGCTGTCTTCATCTCCCATGGGTACATGGCCTTTGTTTCTTCCAAAAGCATCCTGCGGCACAGGTTGTGCCTGGCAACTAAGTGAAATGTCCTTTTAGTCTCGCTGCTGCTTTGGTAAATATTCTAGCTCTCACTAACCTGAAGTCTACATTTGTCTGAAAACGCACTGATTCAGTGAAGCATGTTTAAGTTCATGTCTAACTTTAAAGAAGGCATAGTCTGATGCTTTGACTTAGGCAGGTGTTAAGTATCTTTCTGAACCATATCTGTGGTAGCTTTGCAAAAAGTGTCTGCAAAACTGAATGGCTTCTAATTTGGAAATGTTTGAGTGGTCTCTGTTGGGTTTTTTTTTTCTTTCTTCCAAAACATCCCAACTGAATTATTTATATTTTATTTTGCTTTTTAGACAGTTTGTTGAAAAGTGTCTCCTTGAGTCCTCTCTATTATTTCTAGGGTGTAAACTTGTAACACATTACACATCCTGTGCAGTACATAGATAAGTAATATTCCTCTTTATGTAGAGGGATTTAAATTTTGTTAATACTATAGGTAAAGCTGCATAAGACAGGTAATTGGAAATATTAGAAGAATGTCATTAAGATATTTTACAACAAATTCTGTAAAAAGCAAAATGAAGTGTGAATCATTCAAGTCTGGGTTGTTAAGAAAAACAGAAGAAATATTTTTTGTTAGTCTTAAAAACAGTCTGTTTGCAGGGACTGGCTATTCACTGATACCCGTCTCAGTTCTGGCAGATTCTGTCAACTACACAAAGCTTACTAGGCAATGGTCTTACCCTAGGAAAAGCTGCTTCTAATGTATATATGTTTTTGCTTTCCTAATTTTCAAATGACATCGCAAGCCCTTAATGACAAGCTTATGGCCTGGTGGAGGTCGTGCATTTCAAATAAACCTGATGACCTTGCAATCTGAGTGCCCAATAACTGTTTATGTCTTGCAGAGCGAGCATACAGTCTGCCTGAGCAGTCCCGAGAGAAAAGGTATGGGTACTCGTCGCACCCGCGCTGTGAGGTGCTGGGAGCAGGTCTGTGCAAGAATGCCATCTAGGGAGCAGAGCGGGGAAGAGGCCTCGGCACCCCTCGCAGCAGGGTTTTTAGCAGCAATTCAGGGGAGCGCTCCCTGCCCAGGTGATCTGTAAGCCCGTGCTTAAACCCTGTGCTGAGCTCAGCCTGGCTCTCTCTGTGCCATCCTGCAGTGGAGATTTGCTGTGCACCACTGCGGGACATGCATGGTAAGGAAGTGCTCCTGTTCGCTATAGGAGCTCCTGTCTGCTGCAGGAATGTCCAAAACACTGTAATGAAAGCAAAGGGGCTTTTGATATCAAACGTGATCTAGGCAAGCTTGTAACACATTGCACATTCACAACACTCCACTAGTGCTAGTGTTACTCCTTTTTATAAAGAGGGGTTGCAGTCTTTTTAATAACATCAGCTAAACCCACAATAAAACATGTAATTGTAAATGTTAGGTGAAATAAGCACCCTCCAGATTCTGCTCTGTTTTAATGGGCTGTTCCCACTGGAATAAGCTTTTTTCACTGGTCTCTGTTTCAGGATTCAAGAGGAGGAATGGAATAAATATATTGTACCCTCAAAAAATGAATCCGAAAAATGTAAAGTGAGTCGGACTTTCAGCTTTCTGATGAACAGAATGACCAGCACACGGAATAAGGGCAAGGTAATTTGGGATTTATGTCTATATTATATGTATAATTCATATGTATGTCACTGTAATTAAATGAATTATAGATTATAATCTAAATTTTATGTAAAGATAAGTTGCTGTTTATTACAAAACCACATAAGTAATAAGAAGAAACTTTTAATTTTTTAATTTTAACACATATGCTGGATACTCTGAAATGGCCTTCATATTAAAAAACAGCTTTCCTTTCAAACAACAGCCTTTGCTGAACAATATCAAGTATTTGCTTTGCCATTTTTTTGATGTTATTAATAATCTCATTTGCGATTTAGCCAAAGTTTAAACGTATGAATTTCCTTTAAGAAATAATTTTCTTTGTTAAATAAAACTAAGAGGTATGGGCCTGTTCTTGCAATTACTGTCAATAAGTACATGAGTCCGTAACTTCTACATTGGCATGTAATCAGTTGAATTTGCTTTATTTGAAGCTAATGGGACTTCCTGCATGAGTAAGTACTGCTTAGCATTAAAAAATTGCAGATTTGAGGACTGCACAGTCAAACACACATACTGTGAAAGGTAGATTAGAACATTTGTGGTTTAATTTTGAGACATCTGAAATTTAGATTAATGGCATCAATTAGCAGCTTGAGAGATGGATCTTTCCATCTGGCCTTTTGGCAGTTTTGCAGGCTTTCTAGTATGCCCTCCCGTGCCCCAGGATATCTGAACGTACATGGATGTGAGGATGGTTGGCTGAGCTGGTATCTTCACAGTGATAGAACTGGCTGCAAACATGTATGTCTGGACCAGCAGCCATACATAAGCCTGTCTCCTAAAGAATAACTACCAGTGCTGCTCGGGGAGATGTATACTCACACCAACAGGAGTACTGTAAAAACAGGCAGAATTTATTAAATTCATTAACACTCATTCAAAATTGGTTATTTCTAATGTCTTCCAAGATTTAAAGACAAGTCATCTAAATTTACATAACTGCAGCTTTAACTGCAGAGGTGTGAGTTTGCTTGTATGCCTCGGGGACATGTAGGCACTGATATTTGTTTGTATGTGCACTGAGTCAATGACGCTTCTTAAATTTTATTTTCTTTCCTTTTTGCAGCTTTATAAATGTATTTCTGCCAGTCTTTCTTGATAATGCTTGCTGGCATAATGATAATGCTTCCTTGATAATGCCAGCTGCCAGTGAAAGCAATGACTGCATCATTTTAGGACTTCAGCGGTGTTGGATATAATAATATAGTACTGTTAGAAGTCTTCCAGGGAATAAATGGTTTAGAATAATTTGCTCTTAAAAGGGAATGTTTTAGTGTTTTTAACATTGAATCAGTTTATCTTCTTTTCTAATGTCCATTTTCTTTTACTTTTTTCCTGCCTCTGCTGTTGGGGATGAAGACAAAAAATAAAGATACCAAAGATAAAGAGAAACTGAACAGGCACAATTTTGCAAATGGGACCTTCTCAGGAGTTATCCCATGTATGGCCTGTGAAAAGGCCCTCCTAGGAAAGGAGTCACTGCAGTGTTCCCGTAAGTAGTTGCTGGCTTCTGTGTGTGATCCTACAGTATTCCGAATCCTGCTTTGGAATCCTGGTTCAGCGTTTTGTTTCAAGAAGAAACCCTGCCTAGACTTGGATATTCCTGGTTTATGTAGTGAGCTGAGGTTGGCAAGGCAGTGGGAGGAAGGATGGCAGGTGACAGCTTCAGAAGGGACCACGGCCATCTCCTAGCGCCAGTACACTAGGCAAAAACTCCCTCCTAGCCGGGGGCTCTGGCATCAAAGCATCCTAAGGGCCAATTTAGTAAGTGGACATGGAGGAGGGAAAGCAGTGAAGCCTCAGAGTAACATATTCTGCGGGCTGGGGACCCTGTTGGGTGCCAGGCTTTGAAACGTGCCTTCTCTTTCAGATTGCAACATGATTGTGCATAAGAGCTGCAGGGAGTGTGCTCCTGTGTGCACCAAGGTAACGTTCCATTCTGAACTGTTCTTACTAGAGCATATCTGCTTTCCAAGGGGTCTAGAAACGTCATGAAGGAAAAAAGAAAGTACACACAGCCTGCCCAGACCCAGATTTCTGGAGGAGGACACTCCACAGCCTGCTGAGGCAGTCACTCCCAGTGTTCAGCTGCCACTGCAGACAGGGCAAAATCAGTGCTAGAGCTGATGTATACTGTCTCCTTTTAAGTACAAACACAGGCATGGTGAGGTTATCATGACAAACAAGTTGCTTTCAAAAGTAGATGTGTAAGGCTTCTGCTCTCATAGAATAAAATGGGACTTGCAGCGAAGTGTGCCACAGCAGTACAGGTCTTTTTTCAAATTAGTGGAGTGTGTTTTTCTGGTGTAGCTGGGTTTTGCTTGCAGGGAAAACGTGTTTCCATACAGACTCTTCAGGGTAAACAAGCTTTAAACTGGACATAAACAAGGTGTTTTTATTTATTTTGGTTATAGCTGTTGCATCATAGCCTTGCACAAATTTCTGGGAAACTTTAGTGCATTAGGACAGCTGAACTGATAGTTTTAATTACTGGGATTGGTGGGTTATTTGTCAAGAGAAGACAAGAGCACCTACTACCCCTGGTCTTCTCAACAAGAATGAGATGCAGAAAATGTTCACTGACCCACCTCAAGTGAAATACATGTCTAAACACAGCAGGCTTTTGCTACAGGTTTTGCAAAAGTCGACTTTGGAAGGGGGATTGATTCTGCCTCTGATACCCAGGCTTCCTCAGGCAGTGCCCTGCCACAAGTGCTTCAGGCTTATTTGAATATAAAGCCCTGAATGTTAACTCCTTTTCTTGCAGCCTTCACAGGCAATATTCATAAAGAGAAAGTAGAATGCTGTAACTCTGTGACTTTGTTTCAAATAAACAGATTCAGTTTTGTGTTGTAGTACAAATAATATCATTCTACTCTGAATATTGTTATCTGTCAATAACTAATAAACTTGGATTTATTGGTTATTGGTAGAAATCAGGACCATAATTTAGGAACATTTTCTTGAAGCCCTTTTGTGTGATGATATATGGCAGTGAGTTACTGACTTGACTACTCAGTGTGTTATCTGCTATGATTTCCTTGCAATTTCAAAAAGGTCTTCTTTTTTCAGAAATCCCAGGAGAGATGTCATAATAAAAACAAACCCCAAGCTGCTGTAACAAGTAAGTTAGGAGGTGTAAACCTAGCGCTTCTAAGTTAAGCCTTGGTTAAAAATCATGGGACTGACAACACGAACTTTACTACATCATTTGTGCGTTTCTATTTCTCACTTCAGTATCTGTGAGAAAGTGTGCGTGTCTCTAATACGAGTAGGATTTCTTGAAGAAATGGCAATTGAATTAACTAATCCTCTACTAAAATGAGTGGGAGTTTTACTACATTTTGTTTTCAGTGAGAATGAAAATCCAAAGTAGTCAATTCGGTCTTGTGCTTTTGAGTATGTCATTTACTGTATGCACAAATATTTGGGTCTCCTATGTTTAGGTTGCAGTGCTAAAGCATGTATGATTTGAGATTGTTTTCTTACCAACAGCATCCATGCCGGAGCTATTCCACTTTGCCTAGAGGTTTATCGTTATATTCTGTGGGAGAGCATCACAGTCTTGTACCATGGCAGGTGGACATTCTTGGTACCCAGTACAGGTCTACATGAACACCAGATAGCATTTCACAGATAACTCTGCTGCTGATGACATAGTCCACATTGTTTGTCAAAATGTTGTGTTGTGCTTTGCCTCACAGGTTCCCTGCCTGGAGATGTTTCACAGATGGTGCTTTCCCCAGTGCGTTCTTCTTCCTCTGTGCCTATTGGACTGTCTGCTGGAAGGAGGGAAGCCTCACAACAGTCCCACTTCTTGTCCAAAAGTGTCCCCAGTGCCAGTTTTGAAAGGTAGAGGGCAGCTGCTGGGGGACTATGCTAAATACATCATTCAGCATTTCAAGGAAAATTTAAACGGTTAAATAAATGTGGGATTTTTTTTTCCTGCTGTAGAAGATCTATGCCATTTTCTGAACAAGAGTCTGAGACTAGCACCTGGAGGTCCAGGTCACGGTCTGAAGAGATGTTACAAGCATTAGGGACCTTTTCTTCAATGGATCCTTTTATGATGGAAGGTGAGAAGTATTGCACAGATGTTGCATTTTATGACCTGTGTTGGAAAGTGCAAAATAGAAAAACTCCTTAGTTGATACAGGAAGCCACTTCATCTGCTAAAAGAAGAGCACCTGTTTTTGGTCATTATAATTGTGTCCCTCATTAAAATGATACAGGCACATTAGTCTTAAAATACAACTTTTCCTTTCTTCCTTGTAACTAACTCTGTCATAACTTTAGAATACTTTTGTATGGTGTTGCCATTTTAGAATAACAGGGATAAATGTATGTGGCATCCTTGTAGAACCAGAACAGCAATATACTTTTCTTCTGCACTCATCTAATCATCTCCATTGACAGTGTACATTGCAAAACATAAACCTACATCACTTGTATTTCCTCAGTAGCCCCAAAATCTTACCTCTCACTAGTGAACTGCGCTCCTAAAATGGCTACATATCCTTGTGAGATGCATAGAAATAGGCTTTTTCTGTAGCTAGGTGTGAGACTGGATTTCAAAGCTGGAGGGCATTCACTCACAAAGGATGGTGCAGATATCTCTCACTGGACATCTGCCAAATGGCCAGTGCCTGTCTGACACCAAAGCTACATTTGAAAATGTTGGATTTTATTTTTAAGTTTTAAAAAGTTTCTTCAAGCAAAGAGGTATAAAAAGGATTTCATCTGAGAAAAGAAGGCCAATGTTTGCAGAAGCCTCATCTAAAGTTCATCCCTGTGATGTGTTTCCCTTACTATATGAATAGATCTGCATGTGCAAAGGGACTTCCCTTACTGTTCATATGCCTGGTGTTAATGAGATATGCATTTTCTCATAGATGATGTGGATTTGTCTCAGTGGACTGATCTGCACACAGATGCGCAAGAGTTTGAGGCAGAGTCCTGGAGTCTTGTTGTGGATCCAATGTTCTGCAGCAAGCAAGAAAAGGATGTCATCAAGAGGCAGGATGTAATTTTTGGTCAGTATTTCAAAGTTTTGTGTGGTTTAAAAACAATTTGGCATAGAAAATAGAGAGGGAACCTACGCATTTGATGTCCAGAAGAATGAATGCTTCAACTCAGAATAATAAGAAGGTTCAAAGAACGTTTTTGTTACAAATTACAATGTGTTCTAGAGCTAAGGAAATGGAGAGTAGTGACTACCAGAGACATGTCTGCCCTGTTCACAGAATGGCTGGGGTTGGAAGGGACCTTATCCAATCCCCGGCTCAAGCAGTTGCAACCCCAGCTTGTTCAGTGGGGTACAGTTGAGAGAACTGTGCTGGAGCCAGATAAGTTAAGTCTTCCCACTGACATAATCTATTAGGTTTGAGGCTCACACAGAAAAAAATATTATGACTGTATATTTGAATATTGCTAAAGTCTGTCTTAGAAGGTGTTCAAAATGTTCAGGTGATACTATGCTGTTTTCTTTTATACTGCAGAGCTGATGCAAACAGAAGTGCATCACATCCATACCCTGTTCATTATGTCTGAAATATTCAGGAAAGGGATGAAGGAAGAACTGCAGCTGGACCACAGCACAGTGGACAGAATATTCCCCTGCTTAGATGAGCTACTGGAGATGCATAGGCAATTCTTCTGCAGAATGAAGGAGAGACGGCAGGAATCATGTGAGGCAGGGAGCGAACGTAATTTTGTCATCAGCAGAATTGGAGACATTCTTGTGCAGCAGGTAGAGGCATCAGCTCTGTTAATCCTTTATGTACTCAAGGATCCCAAATTAAACAATTTATTGACTTTAAAACTTTTTTGGGCAAGAAGAGAGCTATGGTTGCCTCATAAAATTCAAAGGCTGTCCCCTCCAGATTATTGCAGGGTAAAATAGCAATAAGAAAAAATCAGTACTGACAGGTAACTGTGATGAGCTTGGGATGAACTTCTACCTATATGGTGCAAGCGATAAGGAAAGTGATGAACTTTGTCCTGTTCACAGTAGAAGGCTGCTGCCATCATGCCATACATGGACTGCAAAAAATGGAAGCAATGGATTCACTTTTTTAATAGTTGAGCAGAGGTGTGAAGAATTGACTGATGATGGAAAAGAAGCTACCTGTTCATTTCTTGTAGCGATCTGGCATGGTGCATCTCAAGTTGCTGCTCACTATAGAAGGGGTGGTCACTGCGTGTTTATGGTGGCTGTAGAACAGTTAAGTAACTGCTTGCTGGTCAGTTCCTTGCAATCAGGAGAGTGTGGCTTTTCATCTTTGGTCAGTCAGTTTTCAATCCACTGAAATAAAGAAGCTGAACTGTTATCTTGTCTAGAAGCGGTGTGGAGATCAGAAAAATGCAAGTAAGCCTCAAAGGGATTGTGTTTGCAGAGAGATGAAAGAAACACTACTATAATAATTGTTCTAGCTGTTATTGGCAAGACTGTAGTGGAGGTCGCTTGTGCTCTCTCCAGCCTGTGTTCCTCTTCTTGCTCCTAAAAACAGCTAGCTCATTTTCATTTTGTGGTGACAGGCCCTGTTAGTGAAATTCAGAGAACTTGAGAAACAGATAGCATAAAAGTTCTGTATCTGTACAAAATACATTAACTAAAGGTATACACTTTCCTGTTAGGTGCAATGCTGAGCACAATTCACTTATTAATTTCTTCAGTTTTCAGAGGAAAATGCAACTAAAATGACGAAAATATATGGAGAGTTTTGCAGCCATCAAAAAGAAGCTGTTAATCTCTTCAAAGAGTTGCAACAAAACAAGAAGTTCCAGAATTTTATTAAAGTAAGTTTACATGGAAATATGATCGCTATTGACAAAATGCTCAGGAAAAAGATACATAGCTTTTACTTAGATTTAGGATTGAAATTATATTCAGTAACTCACTTTTAATAGCTAATAAAAATGGCAAAGTTTTTTCCTCCTTAACCAGTGAGCTGATAAATTACATTTTTTCTTTCAATTTTAGAAAGCTTTGGCATCAAGTGTGTATTACACACATGTTCCTGTTATAGTACACCTCATCTCTGAGGGCAGCAACTGTTCCTTGGGGATGGTTCAGATAACCCAGCATTTTGTTTTAGTTTATTCTAATGCATTTAGATCATATTTCTTATTAGTCAATTGGTGGTTTAATATGCATTTGCAACTTAAGATATATATTTGTATCTGTGCAGCTGAGAAATAGTAATCTGTTGGCACGACGCCGAGGAATCCCCGAGTGCATTTTGCTCGTCACCCAGCGAATCACCAAATACCCTGTTCTGGTTGAAAGGATATTGCAATACTCAAAAGGTGAATAAAAGCTGAAGTGTTGCTTCATGTCTGGAATCCTAGCACGTTTCTAATGTAAGGAATAAGCACTGCTACAATATAACAAAAGATGAAATTCACTGCTCTGTAGAGAACCAGGGCAAAGTATCTACTGTTCAGGCAAATGTCACCTAAACAGGGTGTCTGGTGTATGTAGTCTTTGCCAGGGCTCGGTTGTGAAGGTTTCCAATATTCCAGCTGGGTAAGCCGTAGAAGTCCAGAAGAGCATACTTGCTTTAGGAAAAGATCTTGGCTAGAGGATGTGAAGTAATTCAGGCATGCATCTGCACCTTCTTTGAAAGTAATTCCAGTGGAGTCTCTCGTAAGTAGGGCTAGGCAAATGTTTTGTAAATTACTCCCCAGTTTTTCAACCAAAGCTTGAATGACCTCTGGAATTTCATAGAGCATTTTAGAAATACTAATAACTTACAGATATGCTCCCCAAATGGGCAATAAATGAGTGTTGTAGAAATTGCATATCCAAATGCAAACCCTTTGTGCTTGCAATCATGTTTCAAGGGTTTTTTTTTACTTAGCCAGAAGAGTAATATAGTATATGATTTACTTAGGCAGTAAATTTTTTTAAATGCTAACAGCTCATAAATATGTCAGAAACTATTCAACACGTTGTTTTGACTAATGTATAAGTCTGAGGTACATGTCATCTTTTAATAGGCAAGTCAAGCAAAGGTAGATGCCTCTAATACTTCTAGTAAATTGATTACCAGGCTCAACTTAAAATGACATATTTATCAATTTAAGCTTTGCATCATGTTGATTGTTTCCAGAAAGTAAGGAATGATATCTTCTCTTGAATATGCTGACTACTATCATGTTGTTTATTTTTTGTTTCATACAGAAGGAACAGAAGAACATAAAGACCTGTGCAAAGCCCTTTGTCTGATTAAGGACATGATTGCAACAGTAGATTTGAAAGTGAATGAATATGAGAAAAAGCAAAAGCTGCTGGAAATTCTCAGTAGAACTGAAAACAAAACATATACAAAGCTGAAAAATGGCCATGTTTTTAGGAAGCAAGACTTGATGAGGAAAGAGAGGATACTTCTTCATGAAGGCTTAGTGTACTGGAAGACAGCGACTGGTCGTTTCAAAGGTATTCCATCTGAGCAGTAAAGTCCTTTAACTCTTTATTTACAAATAACATGTGAAGATTGTTTGGTTTAAGAATGAAAATACTTTGTTATGCTGTACTGCAGACGTGAATTTCTGAGGTAATGGTATTGAGAATATGCCACTAATTGCTGTAAGAGTAGTTCCAGAAGCTGCCATGTTTTGTGGGTAATCCACTGTATATCTGGGTAAGGAGACAAGTTCACATACAAAGCCATCAGCTGCATTTCTTCTTCCAGTCCCCTCCTTTTAGTTCATTGATTTGCAGTTTCATCCCTTAACATCGAGTCTTGACTTGCACGTTGATATTGTTCACAGTACTGGCTATTGAAAATAACGCATGAAAAATCGCATGCTGTTCTTCAGTACTGGTTACTGTGACATCCACCGTGAAAAAGAAAACCTGAAACCAGATTTGGCTGGAGCCCAATTTTTACATGCAAGCTCAGCATGTGATTTTTGGTGTTAATCACATGTAGGGATTGGGGGTTTTTTGAGCTACTAATATTTGCTGTACAATATAAAGCTATCTGTTCATTATTATTCCAGAAATACTTTTACCAGTGTAATACTGTGCTGTGAGTATATGTTATAGCATAGGTAAAACAAAATTTATGTGGGATAGTCTTTGCCAGGTTGCCTGTGAGTGGCCTGGGGAAGCTGTACTGACATTGGAGCAAGGATTTCTTCTTTCCCTGGGCATGGTGCTGCAGGAGGGTGGATAGCAGAAAGTGCGGTCTTTCCTGGGAGACACAAAGTGATGGCTTGCAGTTGCTTCATGCAGTCCATAGGCTAATCCAGATACTTCCTGTTTAATTTACTGTAGGATTCTGTGGGATATTTATTGATCAGGGCTTCTCCCTTTTTAAAGATAAAAGAAGAAATTAACTATAATTGTAATAACTTTAATTTAAAAACATTATTTTCTTTTTCTCATTTTAAGACACCTTAGCTCTGCTTCTAACTGATGTACTACTGTTCTTACAAGAAAAAGATCAAAAATACATCTTTGCAGCTGTTGTAAGTATATTGTGAAATATTTGAATATACAAGTTGCACTTTTATTTCTATATTTCTCAAAAGTTAGGTCCTCTTCTAGGTTATTCCCACGTAATTTTTTCTTTCCTAAAATGCTGGTAGTTCATTCAGAACAGTAATACGCCAGTGTATGGAAAATTAAGTTTATTTTCAAAATGAAATAATTTTTTTAGGAAGAAGGATGAAAATAACGATTTTTTTAGTGTTATGCCTCACCTGATTATGAAGGCAGGAAGCAGAGCAAGCTCTTTCAATTACCTGAAATAAATTTTAACTTCTGGTTCTGTAAAACAAAACAGAAGAATAATTTTAACTGCAAATGTAGTAGTAAACGCACATAAAATATATGAAAAGTCATGGAGAGAAGTTCCCAAACTATATAAACACTATATGAATACTGTGTCTCAGTATCATGGAGCCTCTGGGATTTACTTTTTAGCACACACCCAGTGCTTTACTTGTTCATAAATACTATAATGTATTTTTAAAAATAGTTTAAAAAGATGTCTGAATACTCAAAACTTGCAGGCTCTTATGCCTGGTGAGAATATATATAGTCTGACTACACTAGGACTAGAATTAGTCCAATTAATTGAAAAATCGTGCTCTTCTGAAAGTGTGATGTTTTATAAGAAAGTAATTTATTGTTTGCATGTGCTGTGACTGTTTCCCCCAGGACCAGAAGCCTTCTGTTATCTCCCTTCAGAGGCTCATAGTAAGAGAAGTAGCCAACGAAGAACGGGGGATGTTTCTGATTAGTGCTTCATCTGCAGGGCCTGAGATGTATGAGGTTCATACCAACTCCAAAGAGGAACGTAACAACTGGATGAGGCATATTCAAGATGCAGTTGAAAGGTAGAGGAGAAGGCTTTGGGTTTTCATCCTGGTAGTCCAAAGCAGATGGGAGGTCAGCTGGGTATTAGTGACAGTGTGCTCTCTGTTCTGCATTGCACTGGATCCATTCTGTGAGGCTGAGTTTTCCTCTGAGCTCAGGATTCACAGTCCCCAAAACCTCACCACTGCTTCTGCCAAACTTCCCATGTTACTTCTGGTTTCCCACTGAATCAGCAGACCCTTCCCGCTCCCCATTAGATGTCCTTACCATCCATTGCAAGCTTCCCTTGTCTTTGCTTTTGGCACTGGATGCTTTCCAAAGTCCTACAGGTGTCCGTACAACCATTTTGGGGAAATCTCCGGTCATGCCTGTTGTCTTGGTGTCAGCTCCTTAAGAATGGCAGGGAAAGCATTGCTCCTCATGGGGCCCCAGTTTATGCTTAGTATAGCAAACTTGCGTGAGGGCCAGCCACCCATTCACTGCATGATGCAGTCTTACCAGAATTAAAAGGAGTCCTTCAATCTGGTTTATGTCCAGTCACTGCTTTTTAAAGGAGGAGAGAAATGGCATGCTCCTGGATTGTAGCAAAAGTTGGTGTTGATGTTGTGTTCTGTTTATTATGAACACAACACTGTATGAATGTATGACATACAGATTTTGCTTTACCCACTTTTTTTTGCCTTTCATCTTTGAAGTTGTCCAGAGGAAGAAGAAGAAGGAAAAATGAGTGAATCTGATGAGGACAGGCGTATCGCTGAGGCCAAAGCATCCAGAATTCAGAAATGTCAAGGTGTGGTACCTTTCCTGCCATTCTGGGAGCTCCTACATCCTGAGAGTTCAGGGTGAATAATGAGTCCATACTGGCTGGTGTGTTCAGAATGGCTTGATAGACAGGGTCACAGGGGAGGAAGCTGGGGTGGTCTGATTTTATAATGTGAGTCTATTGAAAGAGAACCAATTTTTTCCAAACACTTCATATTTTTGCTACATTTCCATGAGTACAAAAGAAAAAGAGAAGTGGATGCTTTCAGAATAAATACTGAATTTCCCAGATTAGCATCAGGGCCAGGTAGTTCCCTGTTTGTGGAAATACCTCAAATCCTCAATAATTGTGTGTCTTTGTGCTTGTTTATGGCATTTCATCCTTTGCTGCTATTATTTTTATCTGAAAATGTAGCTGACGGATAAATTCTGCTTCTTTGGTTCCCCTGCACCTAACTGCCACATCTTTATACTGCTGTGAGGAGAGAAATTCCAGCAATGTCCTTCCTGTAGAGAGCCACAGGAAAGGGCATCCTCCACTGAGAGTAGATGGTGTTCTTTGATGCTGAGGCACTGAATCAGTGCATCTTCTGGCTGCCTGAGCCAAGTGCTTTTCCAGCATTGATCGTTGTGAGTGCAACAGGAGGTAGCTGAGGGCCCCAGAGCACAGCCAAGGTCACCTCATCAGGGTTGGGCACTGGCCTGGCCCTCTGCCAGGGTCTGTGCCAGCTTTTGTTAGGACGGACTATGGGATGAATTTGGTTCCTGGCTACTTAAAAAAGGTCTAGCTCGAGTTAGCAATGTCTATGTGATGTAAGGATTAGAAGGATGAATGGGGAATGTGCTTTGCCTGCAGGATAGAAAATATTAATACAGTGTTCAATTTTGGTTGACAGAATCACTGACTAACCAGGACCAGCAGATCTGTAGTTATTTGGAAGAGAAGTTGCATATCTATGCAGAACTGGGAGATATGAGTGGGTTTGAGGATGTTCATGTAGAACCTCACCTCCTTATCAAACCTGATTCTGGAGAAACTCCACAGGCTGCTTCATTGCTGGCAGCAGCACTCAGAGAAGGTAAGTTTGCATGGGAAGAGTGGACTGGTGGCTCTTCACATGGGCAGATATTTCAAGGTAACAAAGTACATCTGCATTGCCTTGTGCTGCAGTTCCGTCAAGCTACAAGAACTAGCAGTGTCAAAACTTGGCAGAAGACATTGAAGAGAAGTCTCTCAAGTTTATAATTTTCAGATGCATGAGATGGTGCCTGCCAGATTGTAAGATAAGAGATATGTTTAGTGCATAACATCATAAGTAAGCAAGCAAGGACATGGTGTTAGGTTGCACTTGAGGATTGGTTCCTTAGCTGTCCTCCTTGCAGTACAGCCCTGTGGAGCAGATCACAGGGTGCAGTATGATATTGCATCTGGTCCCTGACCTTCATCTACCTCAGGTGATTTGTTGACAGATCAGAATCATGTAGGATCATACACAGGCCAAACTGCAGTTGATCTCGGCAGATATGCCAAGAAACACCTGCCAGAATTGCTGTAGGAGCTGTGTTTTTTCTGCATACTGTCTAACAGAGATGATAGCTTTGTGCTACCTACAGTGCTGTCCTCCAAAGGAAGGAAGGGAACGGTATTTGTGGATACCTTGCCTAGTTGGAAGTTCAGCTAAACTCCTGCTAAACTCAGCTGAAAGGAGTCCTGGTAAACTAAGCCATATCCAGCATGAACCATATGCTCTTTGAGAAGGACTACAAGATTTTAGCATCACATAGATTGAGAGCTGTGGGCTAATAACCACATTTCAACCAATAAAGCAGCAAAGGTTGGTCTCCATCATCATTATGAAGTCAGAGAGCATTTCATTGATAACATTGATAAAACTTGGGTAGGGAATGTAAGTCAGTGATGCAATAGCAAATGTCATTTTAGCTAAAAAGGCAACCTGTACTTACACATCTTATTCTGCCCACTTTTAATTTTCACTTTCTCCTATGCTAATGTTGATGTTGAAGAGTCCCGAAATCCAAGATACCTTCAGCACACTGTAAGGAATTTACGGTTGCTTACATGGTAGGCAATTTGTGTTGATCATTTTCCAGAACAGAAATACTAAGTCCCTGAGCTAATAGCAGACTCTATAGGAAGAAAGCATTGCTCACAGTAGAGAAGGATAGAATTAGGGCATGCTTAACCTAATTGGATATGCACAAATCGATGAGATGAGACAGGATAGATCCAAGGCTGCTTAGGGAGCTGGCCAATGTCATTATGAGGCTGCTTTCTATCATCTTTGAAAGGTCACAGTGATCAGGAGAGGTTTCTGATGACTTGATGAAGGCAAGCATCACACCCCTCTTCAAGAAGGAATATATAGGGATATGTAGGAAACTATAAAATAGTCAGCCTCACCACCATTTCTGAAGCGGTGATAGAGCAAATCCTCTTGGAAGACATTTCCAAGAACATGAAGGACAAGAAGGTGATTGGGAAGAGCTAGCATGGATTCATCAAGGGCAAATTGTGTCTGACCAACCTGATGGGTTTTATGATGAGAGGAGAGCAGTGCGTGTTGTTTACCTTGACAACTGCAAGGCCTTCAACACTGTCTGCACTGGCTGTAGTGTCCCTACAGCTGAACTGGTGCGATGCAGACTGCATAACTGGGTGGAAAATTAGCTGGACTGCTGGGCTGAAAGAATTGTGATCAGTGATATGATGTCCAGCTGGCAACTTGTTCTTAGGGGATTTCCTTAGGGATGGATCCTGAGACCAATACTGTTCAACATATTTATTGATTAAGTTAACCAAGGGATTGAATACACTCTTAGCAAATTCATGGCTGTCACCAAATGAGGCGGGGTGATCTGTGTGCTGGAGAGACCTCTACAGATTGGGAAAATGGGCTAAGAGAAACGACTAGAAGTTTGAAAAAGACAAATGCAAAGTCCTGCATCTGGGATGGGGTAATCCCGTTTGTTGGTACAGGCTGGACGCTGACTAGATAGGCAATAGCTTTGCAGAAGTGGACCTGGGAGTCCTACTTGATAGCAGGTTGACCATGAGGCAGCAATGTGCCCTTGTGGCAAAGAAGGCCAACTGCCTCCCAAACTGCTGCATTAGGAGGAGAGTTGCCAGCAGGTTGAGGGAGGTGATCCGTCCTCTAGTCGCCCGTGGTGAGTCCTATCTGGAGTGCCATGACCAGTGCTGGGCTTCCCTGGACAAGGGAGACATTGACAAACTGGAGCAAATCCAGTGAAGGGCACCAAGGTGACTAGGGAGCTGAGCACATGACTTCTGAGGAGAGGGTGAGTTGGTCTGTTCAGCCGTAGGAGAAGGCGGCTTGGTGGGACCTCATTGCTGTCCTCAGCTCCCTAACAGGAGATGCCAGATTTTTCACAGAGGCACATGGTAGTAGTACAAGAGGCAGCAGGCACAAGTTGGGACATGGGCAATTTATCAATTAAATGACAAGAAAAATAATATACTGTGAGGGTGGTCAAAAACTGGAACAGGTTGCCCGGAGAGGCTGTGGAGTCTCCATCTTTGGAGATGTTAAATGCTTGTCTGCGCAAAGCTCTGAGCAACCCAGTTTAGTTTGGCCAGCTTTGAGTAGGGTGTTGGGCTAGATGACCTCCGAAAGTCCCTTCCAACCTAAATTATTCTATGATTCTATGTCATTTATTTATGCATTAAGGAGCTATGTAAGGGGCCTCTGTAATTCTGCATGCTTTCCTCTCTAGTTGAAAGTCTCCATGTTGCTGTAATGACATCACAAGTGAGTGAAACAGACAGATCACCAGAGGGAAGTATTGAGGAATTAAGTGTGAAGCACAGATTTAGTGCTAATGAAATCTTGGAATCTGTTCCTGGTGGTGAGTAAAATGTGATGCTTTTACATATTCAGAGTGCTAAAATAATTGATACCAGATTGGTTTTTGGAAAGCTTTCTCAGTCTGTGGCAGAAGCAATAGAAAATAATGTAATAAAAGTTGTCTTTGGGCAAATGCTCAGACAGTATAAATTGTCATATAACTTAATTGAAGTAAATGGATGGTTTGCATCCACTGCACCTTTTCATAGCACATGCCTGCATTCAGCAATGTTGAGTCAGATTTGTGTATCTCCATATCCTTTCTCATCATTGTTGCTCAGCTCCACAGCAAATCTATATTGCAGTATAGGCCATTTCCCAAGTCAGGTAATTTTTGTCAGAAGGCTTGAAAACCAGGACTGACATTCCAATAATTTCAGCTGTAAAAGGTATAGCATGGATTTCTTGCAACAAAAATGCAAATAAAGTCCTATAAAAACCATTGCTGCAGAGCATTTTTAATGATATAGCTATACTTATCTCCAAACTTTTGTAAGTGAAACACTACCAATTTTTAAGATAGAAGAACTGGATTGTCCTACCTGTGCCATCCAGGCTTGCAAATTTGTTTTTCCCCAGCCTAGAAACCATTATGTAACTCGAAATTACATAAATCTCTATTTTCAGCATTCTGTGAGTAGCTGTAAAAAAAGTGTGCCCTTTGTTTCTCTAGTCAGAATATGCTTTGATACCTTTCTCTTGCGTTTTATTGGGGCTTTATTTGTTAGATGCAGAAATAAAAGAACTTGAAGAATCATCTGAAGTTGATCTCAGTGTTGAAAAGGAAATGGCAGGTGCCAATTTAGAGGATAAGGTATTGTAACTGATTTTTCTTCCTGTGTTGCACATAGCACTCTGGGTGCTGGGAATGTAAATGCTGTCCAAATTTTTATGGGGTATCTGAAGATTGTTGCAAAACACAAAGGACAGGATAGGCACATTTCACCCAAATCCAGATAATTCAATTTAACAGAGGTCACTGCAATTAATAATGAATTTTAAAAAAGCAATCATAAACAGTCCAAATGCAGAACAATTTTCCTCCCAGGCTTACAGACCAGTGGGTTGTAATAACAGCACACTATCTTTCTACCACTTCTATGGGCCACCTAGGAGCCTGGTTCTCTGCTGTCATCATTCAATACAACCATCTCCATGGAGCTGACAACAGTATTCCCTCTACTCCCTCCTATTCACAGGATGATGAAAGTCTTCTGCAATGACAGAGACCTCAGCTAATGCAAGGAAGACTTATGCATTGGAAGAAATTCATCCTGAAAACAAGCACATAAAATAGGATTGTCTTACACTAGCTTGCTTCAGAATTTTGAATTAAAACAGAATGGAGCAATTAGAGAATAGAAGAGAAACTGCCCGTTTTTCCAAGCCCTGTAATTCACAAGCAAATCTGGGGAAAAAGCAGAATCAAAAGTCAGTTCTGGGCAAAATTAGGAATAGCAGATTTCATGTAGCAGCAGAGTGTTAAAGTAAGAGCAGTATGAATTACTGTGTGAAAATAGACTGAATTGTAATTTTGGAGTCTTTAGGTGGAGAAGCAGGACCATGAAAGGAGTAAAGGGGAAAGACAAGACTAGAAGATACATGGAATGCAAAGTTTGCTAGAAAAGGAGATACTTGGTGTTAGCGTACTGTCTTTGCCTCAGAACTGAAAGACGGCTTGTGTGCCTGAAACCTTGGGGTTTTTTTTTCTTAGCTATTTCTCTAAGACTCTTGCTAATACACTAATCTCTCTATAACCTCAACCTCGCCTCATGTTCAGCTCTAGGTCATCTTACTTACCAGGCTGCTGTGTTAGAAGGGAGTAGGAAGAAGAGTGTGTGTGGGAAAAATGGGATGAAAACAAAAGTCCAAATGAGGGAGCACAGAAGACAGGTGAGGGGAAATAAAATAACCTAACAGGGAATCTGATCTGCTCAGATCTAGCCCATTAAAAGTTCCAGTCGCTCCACATGAAAACATTGCCATTGGGGTTATAGACAAGACAGAGCCAGGCTTTTCTCAGAGGTCACAGCAAAAGGATCAGCATCCAAGGTTATGGGTTGCAGCAAGGGAAATTCTGACTATATGTAAGGAAAAAAACAGTCACCATGGGGGTGATCAAGCAGCAACAGGTTGTCCAGAGAGGTTGTGGGGTCTCCATCATTGGAGGTTTCTTGGATTTGACTGGAGAAAGCCCTGAGCAGACTCATCTAACTTTGAAATTAGTCTTGCCTTAAGGTGCAGCTGGGCTAGAGGGATCTACACCAAACTTCCACCCTAACTTATTGTTTTGGTCTGGCGTATTATTTGGGCAAGACTCGTGTCACCTCTTACCATGTCAGAATCAGATTTAACCAGGAGGTGGCAGAATGAGCAAACAAAAGAGGCAAGGCAAGGGCTTTCAGGAGCGGAGGATGCTCTCCTGCCTGCCTTGGGTCGCTGGGTGTGCAGTCCTGGGGTTGTGGGGGGGCAGCAGTGCACTCAGAGCAGCTAGCCTGGGAAACCAAGAGCCAGAAAGACTGAATGAAAGCCCCCAGCTCGGGCTTTAATTGCTGACCAAGTGTCAGAAGGAAGATCGTTGCCTGTGCAACACGTGGGGTCCCAAGCAGGCAGCAGTGGGCGTGGTCCCCATCTTGTTCCCCCCTGCTCCTGCCTTGTAATCACATCTCCGGGGGCGTTGTCTGAGGCAGGGTGCACGCAGCCTGCCCTGGGATCTGACTGTCCTGGGATCTGACTGTCCTCATCTCCACTGCTGCTCATGACTGTGAACCAAGGTGCTGCTCATGACTGTGAACCACTCTAGGGAAGAGTGGCAGGGAGGTGACGGTGGCCCACAACACAGGTTGAACAGCTGAATATATATATTGATTCAGACCTAGCCAGACTTACAGGGCTTGTGCTGAAACTGCAGGGGTGCAGCTACAATGCTGTTGTCACCCGGGCTAGATTGACTAAACCTGCCTTGGGCTTATTCCCCAGTGCTCAAGTGGTGCTGCAGTGAAGAGACCACAGGCGCTTGGGCTGGCCACTGGCTACCCCTTGGCTGTGCCAAAGCCAGTTAAGCCTTCAATCCCCCTGTACACCTCCTTTATTAAATTAAAAAGGGCTTTAAAAACTGAAAGAAACCCCACTCTTGTTCAGCATGCGGGCTGGCTCTCCTTTGTACACTCACTCTCCCTCACCCTGCCAGCATCTCCTTCTCCTCTCTCTCCCTCTTCTTCCTCCTTGCCCGGTGCTCATCTTGGCCGCCAGCAAAGGCAAAGTGGAGCTCCCTTGTGTCAGTCCTTGTGCTGCACAGAGACGTCTGTGCAAAGTCCTCTGCTTCGCACAGCAGAGCTGAGCAGTTATGTGGCTTGTGGGTACAGTGAGCAGCAGAGGAGGAAGTAAAGATGTGGATAGGGAATGGAGGGAAATACTGAAGGGGGATAATGAGAGAGAGAGAGGAGTGGAGGAAATGCTGCAGCTGGTGCTCCCTTTCCCCCTAGCTTGTCTGCTTTGAGCTGCGTTTCGGGGCCTAGCCTTTTTCACCTTCATTTTCAGTTATCACAGCCAAATGGAGCAGCTGCTTTGGTCTCTCTGGTGGAAAATGAGACACAGTAGAGAATTTAGGAGAATCAGAGAGAGCACAAATATTTCCCAAACCCTCCTCTGCTCCTCTGAAAGAAAAAATGAGAAAAATCATACAGGAAGTCCTTTCAGCATAGCCTCAGAAGGGATTGTGTTTTATTTCTCCACTGTTTCACCTTATCTTTCTCAGAGGAGCTGTTCTTCATGCTGAAGGGATTATGGGTGGCTTCACTCCATAAATTTAGAAAGCTGCTTAGGAAAAGGGAGCAGGGTGGAAAGTGTGAAGTGGCTGAACCTCGCTGCAGTGGACAATAGTAACCACACTGGTGCGTTTTGCAGAGTATAGTGGGCACGCACTCTTTGCTCAGCGCCTCACAGCACATCCAAGGTATCCGCTGTAACCCACTCATGTGACTTCTGCTAGCTTCTTGCTACATGAATATGTATTTTTGAAGAGTCTTGTGGTGTTTCATCCTACTATAGGTAATCTAAACTCACTGTGCTGTATGTACAGAAGTCTGGTTACTGTATTTCAAAACTGTCAAGTAAACAAAGAATGAATGGAAATGTCTTTTCTGTGTAGCATTAGTCACAAGAGGATTAAAATTGTGGATGAAATATTTTTGTTTTTACAGTTGTGCTTAGAACCTCTAGTGATTTCTACGGAAACTCCAGCATTGATGAATTATTAGTCTTCATAGGTTATTGCTTCTGTCTTTTTTCACATACCCACAAAAGATTTGATTCAGCACTGCATGTATTAGCAATATGAATGTCTCCACTAGTTTAAAAAAAAAATAAATTACCTAGATGATACAATTCTAAATTTAAAAACTACTTTTTAAAGCAACATGTGTTTATTTTAGGGAGGAAGTATGAGTTTCCCAGGATCTACAGGGACAGAGGTGAGTTTATTTAAACCCCAGACACACTGTAGTAACTATTTAGTTAACAGTGGTCAAACCTTTGAAAATCCTTGTCTTTTATTTTCTAGATTGTACAAGCAATCCAGAACTTAACCCGTCTCTTGTACAGCATACAGGTGACTACTCCACTGCTAACTTTGTAGAGTAATTAGTCTTAATAATTTACTTTTTAAGGTTTGTTTTCATCTTGCCCTACTTTTAGACATTATGTCAGTGGATACTTATCTCTACCGACTGTTGCGTGAGTTGTCATATAATATATATTTATTCTACATCAGTGGTAGGTTTATTTTAAGAACTGAATAATGCTTGCTTGCTTGGAGATCAATCCCTCCCAAAAAGGGACGTGTGTGCAGTCCAAAAATTTAGGGGGAAAGTAAAATGATGGCTCTAACTGAACTGATGTGATTTCATGTACAGATTTCTGAAACTATAGTTCAAAATACTGAAGAATTTTTAGTATTTTGTTTAGAATATTCTCCTGGCTACCAGTAAACAGTGTCTCTGCCACTTAGGTAGCAAACTCAACACATTTTAGATATTTCAATCTCAGTTAATTATTGTGTGTATTCCGTAGGGCCTTAGTCTGAAGGTTTTTGCCCCTCTCATGCTAAGTTTGAATGTTTTAACTTATTTTTTCTTATTTAGGTGCAGTTTTATAGTTTTATTTTAAAATGTTTTATTTGAGTATGTTTAATTTTTAGACCCTCTTGACATTAGCATATTTCATAATAATCCTGGAAACCTTGGGCTTAGAAGTGAAGTGGATTGAAGCAATAGAAAAGCAAAACAAAAAGCTTGTAATTCAGGAAAAACTTTTGAAAAATTGAAAAACAGATAGCTTAACACCAGAGGGGCAGTAAAGTAAGGCTTAGGATCATGCCTTAATTGTTCAGATCATGAATTGGCAGCACAGGTGCAGAGAAACAAGCAGAGGATCCTGTCCTGGCCCTGTTTACAAATCACTGGAACTGACCCAATACTGGAGGAAGAGCCAAGAAAAGTGGGAACTGCACATTGCATAAAGTTAAAACCTCTTTCTGGGTTGGATGGCATGGGGTAACGGGGCTGTGGGAATTCCATGGGAATGTCTGCTGAAGTAGATTCCCATGTCAGCTTTTGAAGATAGGCTGTGCAGTAAGTGCCTTAGCAGATCTAGGGCTTTCTTGCTTTTCTTTCTTCTTAATCCCAGCTATTTATTTTTATGTTATTGGAGGATGTCACAATCTTTAATGCAAATAACATCACGACATCCTTGTGAAGGATGGAATATAATGCTCTTGGTTTTAAAATAAACTATTGAAATATCAAAACCAAAGTCATTCTTACGCTGCAGATTTCTGCCGGCATAAATATCTTGGTCAGGTGCATGTAGCAGTATGGTCCTGATGACATGGCTATGTTGGCAGGTGCCTGTAGGACTGATGTTAGTAGGACTGTGCTGTTGCAGGTTGGCAAGGAGAGCCTTAGGGTTGGAGTGAGCTGTACTGGAGACAGTACAGTTTTATCTGTATAAGCCACATCTGTGTTAGTAATACTTTGTTGAGTGTAGCATTCCCAGTGCCTCAATGCCCTCTTTAACTATGAAAAATCATTTTTCCTTTGTGTCTTACATCCTTGGACATAACAGGACCCCAGCTGTAACTGAAGTGCATATGTGCAGATGTAATATAAACATATATAATAATACTAAGTGTAAACCAGAAGCCATGTTAAAAGTGCTTGCAATGCTTGAATGCTTTTAGAAGTATCTCTTGGTAAAGGCATGAACACAGAATTTTCTCTACTTGCATGAGGAATAGCCTCCAAAAAAGCATTAAGTGTTGATATTACCGGAGGTTGAAGCATTTTTATATAATGCCTCTATGTAAAAATACAGAAATGGGATAATGCTAATATTTAAACATTTGTGTCTGATTTTATTGTGGTGTCTAGGCAGCACTAGCTATCCAGGACAGCCACAGAGAGCTCCATAGGTTACTCCTGCAAGAGAATGAGAAGACCAGTCGGGGCCATGGTGCTCGGCTAAACCTCCTTCTGGAACAAGAAAAGTACCGGAATCTGGAAAAACAAAGGGTGGAGCTGGCCAACATACACAAACTGAAGCAGCAGTTTCAGCAAGAGCAGCAGCGGTGGCTCCGTGAATGTGACCAGCGGCAGCGGGAGCAGGAGGTGAGGGAGGGCCAGCTGGGACAGCGGGAGAGGGAATGCGGATGCCAGGAGGAGCTGCTGGAGAGGAGCCGACAGGGACTGGTGCTGCAGCTGCAGGAGTACCAGCAGAACCTGGAGAGGCTCCAGGAGGGCCAGAAAATGGTGGAGAGAGAACGAGAGAGTGTGAAAATGCAGAAGAAGCTCCTCTGGCACTGGAAGCATGGTCAACAAAGTAGCCTGTTGTCATCCACAGAGAGCTATGAGGTGTGTGGTTCCCCACTGTAATTATATCCATGACTGCAGACCTAGAGACTTTCCTTGACGAATAGACTAGTACGTCTGGGTTTTGTTGGCTGGTAACATAACGAGTGAGCATGTGGGAAGCTGAGGTTCAGGCATAGAATCATATCCAATGGCTTTGTCGAACCTCATGAAGTTTAACCAGGGGAAGTGCAAAGTCCTGCCCTCGGGAAGGAACATCCCAATGCACTGATATATGCTGGGGGCCACCCATGTGGAAAGCAGCTTTCCAGAAAAGGACCTGTGGGGCCTGATGGACACCAGGCTGAACATAAGCCAGCAATGTGCCCTGGCCACAAAGAAGGCTAATAGTCTCCTGGACTGCATTAGGCAAGGTATTGCTAGTAGGTCAAGGGAGGTGATCCTTCCCCTCTACTGTGGCCACACCTGGAGTACTATGTCCAGTTCTGGCTCCCCAGTACAAGAGAGACATAGAGCTATGGGGTGGCGGGGTGTGGAGTGGGGATAGAGGGGGTGGGGTGGGTGTCCAGTGAAGGGCCACAAAGATGTTTGAGGGACTGGAGCATCTCTCCTGTGGGGAAAGGCTGGGACTGTTCAGCCTGGAAGAGAAAAGGCTCAAGGGGATTCTTATTAATGTATATAAATACCTAAATGGAGGGTCTAAAGAGGATGGAGCCAGGCTGTCTTCAGTGGTGCCCAGTCACAGCACCAGAGGCAATGGGCACAAACAGAAACACAGGAGGTTCCCTCTGAACATCAGGAAACACTTTTTTTCCTGTGAGGGTGACCAAGCACTGGCACAGGTTGCCCAGGGAGGTTGTGGAGTCTCCTTCCTTGTTGATATTCAAAAGCTGTCTGGACATGGTCCTGGGCAACTGGCTCTGGGTGGCCCTGCTTGAGCAGAGGGGTTGGACCAGATGACCTCCAGAGGTCCCTTCCAATCTCAACCATTCTGTGATTTTAAGCTGGGTGCCCTACAGAAGCCAGCTCAGACTGACGGGTATTAAACTGAGATGGAAATTGTAAGTGTGAGAATCTGTGTTTTATTCTGCTTTGCTGCTGTGTTTGCAAGAAAGATTGTGTCTCCTGCCTCTTGTAGCTAAATTATTGTAATGGTTGAGGCGTATAAAGCTTTTAAAGTCTTTGGCTGCTGTCATTGTTCCTGGACAACAGCACTGTCTCCATTGAGGAACAGTGGCTGCTCCAGGAGTGGGAAACACCAGGCTCCTGTGAACCCTACCTGTCAGGCCCTGCTGTCCTGCTCCCCTGAAACAAGCAGCTCCTTAGGGGAAGAAGTTGGTGGCTCCATCCCTGACAGTATAATTCTTTGGAAATGGTCATTATTAGGGGATGCAATTTAAAGTGGCTCTGAAGCTACTTAAGCATTTAATACTAAAAATGATCACGTTTTTGTTGAGGGTGAAGGATAGAGGCTGACTCTGAACTCCACTGTCTAGGTGCTCACCTGCCAGGTGGGACCTGGTCTCTAGTCCCTGCCTCATTGGGTACGGACTTGATTTCCATTACTGCTCTCTAACGCACCTGAAAATCAAAACATTTTGCTGGCTTTTGTGTATATTGGAAGCTCACTGACCCAAACAGCTTCTTTTTTCCTCAGGTTTTCATTTTCACAAGAAAATCTGTAGAGCCTTTCTTCAGGCCATCACCTCCCTAGTTTTTCAGCTGGCAACTGACCCATAACGGGCAGTGACCATTCAGCGTCTAAGCCTGTGTCTGCATGAGGTGGTGGAGGATTGGCCTCTGACCTCCCCCTTTTCATCCAGCTTTTGTGAACACCGTGTGAACATGACTTATCCGTATATGCTTGCCCAGCCCAAACAACGAAGGCACTTCTTACTAGTATAGCTTGCAGTACAATTTTGACTTGTTTGGCAGTGCTTAAGAAGTGATTGATAAAGCCAAAACTGAACTTGCCCGTCAGTTTTAATGGATGGGACTTCTGAAATCTTTTGGGGAGAGGAAGTTGAAGGGCGATAGCCTGATGCAGGGATGGCCAGGATCGCACAGGCAGAGAGGCAAAATAATGAAATGCTCAGTGTCAAAAAGAAGTAGTTCGTAATCTGTTATTTCATGTGTAATACTAGTTGTATTTTTATTTCAAGTAAACTACATGGCTTTGTATGCATTCCAGGTCTTGGGATCATCGTTGTCCTCTGTTTTCCACTATCATACTCCTTGCAGCAGCAGAGTTGGCTGAGTGGTTGCCAGTCAGCCAGTATTCCCAGCCCAGTGTTTTTGTCATTACACTGAACCTTTTTTTTTTTTTTTGATGGCTTTTTGGATGTTTTTTGGATGTTTTGGATGGCCAAACGTTGCGGTATTTCACACTACTGCTCCTGTTTTTTTTGTGAGCTTGGCCTTGATAAACAGCTGCAGGCAGGGAGTCTTTGCAGGAGTTGGATTTTCAGCCCCTGTGAGCCATGCCTGCTTGCTGAATGCTGTTTGCCATCCCCAATTTGACTGCTGTAGTTCTTTCTCTATGATTACCTCTCTATGTGTTACTTTTGGATTGCAATGTACACAGATTTACATATGTGAAGTGGTACCTCGTTGAGCCATGGGGCAAAATATTAACCCCCTGAAAGGAGTCAGCAGAGCTCAGTGCATCCCAGGTAGTGGCCCTTCATTATTTGCTATTTTGTGATAAATAGTGAGGTTTCCTGTGTTTTGAGGGGAGCTAAGGCAAAATGTACTACGTTATTGCTGTTTATTCCTATACATGCATCCAATTTAACATGTTTTGAGGTTAACTTCTGGGAAATTAGGTGACTGTTTGCTATGAATCCCCATTCTGTCTGGCAGTTAATTTTTTGTGTCCTGGTAAAAGGATTCTTCAGAATGATGCTTGTAGTCTATGGTTTAGTTTTAGGTAGTCCTGCAAGGAGCAGGGAGTTGGACTTGATGACCCTTATGGCTCACTTCCAACTCAAGATACTCTGTGAATCTATGATTCTGGTGCTGGACAAAGGTGAAAATGCTGTTCTCTGGTTTTTTTTCCCCCCTTCTGCAGATAATGGGACATAATCAATCGGACAGCTTACATGGCGAAAACACGTTCTACTTAAATGAAGCTGTAGTGTGTGTGTCTCTAAGCAGTCTCAACAGATCAGATTCTTCTCTCATTTATGAGGATGGTGTGCATGGGCTGAACATCTCAAATTCTGATATAGCAAGGACTAGTGAAAATCAGGTGGACCTCAAAATGGACACTTCTTGTCAGCCATCGTTAACCAGTGCCCTGTGGAAATCCACTGGTCCTTACCAGCAGATGTCTTTTTCCTGCAAAAACAACAAGGATGCCTTTAATAATGGTAATTAACGCTTCATTTAATTAACAAGTAGTATGGGCAGTTTGCCACCTCTCAGAACAAATAGTCTTAGGAATGAAGACAGCTTGATAGCGGTGGAAGCAATAGATTTTGCTAAAACAATTGCATTCTGCTTTGCAAGCTTGTTGAGGGCAGGTGAGAAAATAAGCAGAAGAGAAATACAGAAAACTTACAAAAAAAACCACAAAACCCCTGTTTGTGTCTGTGTAACAGTACTCAGAATGTTGTTCTCTCCAAATCCTTTCCCAATGCTTTTTGACTCGGGGTTTTTTTTTGTGAACTGAAGTCACTCTTGCTGTTCCAAGTGCATTTTATTGGCTGTTTTAGACCATACATGCATTACTTGGTGATTTCTAGTTAGAATAGCTTTTGATTTACCATCTTAAAATGATAATCAGTGGTCAAACACCCTCTTCTTTCTTCATTGAGAATGAAATGAAAATATCTTCAAAGACTCTGTAGTTGTGGAAAGAAAATTACATCACTTCTAAGGGATAATATAATCTTTGACAATAAGTTTCCATGTTAGTAAAAACAGCTCTTACTACATTACCTTTCTTTATTCTTGTATTTTACCAGAACCCCCAAAGATATGTAGATTATATGGCAGTTATTGATGGTGGCTACCAAAATGAGTGGAAGAGGCCACCTATCTGAGCACTGCATTCCACTGAAAATTCCCTGAAGGACTTAAAAACATGCTAACAAGAAACTAAACTATGTGGGGTTTATTTCTCATGTTGCACAGTGCTAGTTTTGATCTGAGTTGGTGTTTTCATTCTTTCATTATTGTGCGAGTTGTAGAGCAGCATGTAAAAACACAACAGCTTGAGGTCTTAGGGGACAACGGTGCGCTTTTGGTGTAGTAGATGAAGTAATCTGGTGGAATTTTCCTGCACAGTTGTGAAATTTAGGTGAGACAGGGCAAGTCAGCACTGCAACAGTGCCCAAGCTCCCATGTTTCTGCAGCTGGCAGTGCAGGGTGACTTCTGTCCTCCCACTAGCTGCATGCAGGTCAGGTCACAGCAAAGACCAGTGGGCAGCAGGATCAGAAATTGAAAACATACACAGGTACAATGGTTTTTAATTGTCTTAAGTCAAATCTGCAAGTTGTTCAAATAAAAGAGTCCTTGATTAAGGAACTTGCTCCTTAGTACTGCTTGTAATGTATTAAACAGGCATCCACTACAGCCTTACTAGTCATTGGTACATGGATTGCCAAAATAGCATTTTATAATCAAAGGTAGGGCAGGCTAGTCTCATCACCACAATCAGCAAACCAAGCTGATTAGTAAAAGAGATTAATATTTCTAAAAATGCCTAAATAATTAGCCTGGTGAAACTTGTTCTAGTTTGACTGAAGTTGTCATTTTAGTAATAGGTTAGCTACGCTAGTGCAAATTTGAAAGGGAACACATATGTGGGTTTAAACCTCTCAAAAGTGGATTAGCTTGCACTGGCAAATGTTCAGATGCAAGCTAACCAGGATACTTTCTGTTGAGCCCACATGAGAGTGTCTGGTTTAATTAAACTGGCTTGTACCAGTTTAATTGCACTGATTCTAAGATAAGCTAGTGGAGCTTCTGTATGTAAAGATGCCCTTCACCCACAACAGGCCAGCTTTGCGTTCAGCTGCTGTTACTGCCTCTTGTGTAGACATTGTTATCTTGCTCTGGTAACAGGGCACCAGTGCAGTCCCAGCAGCTTGGGGACCAGCACTGGCTACGAAGCCTGCCCAAGAGGTAGAGTAACAGGCTAGTATAAGTCTCTCTGGCTAAGTCGTGTCTGTAAAACCTGCAGTTACTGCCTTGATTGATTCACAGGGTGCCTTTGGCAAAGCAGTGCAGCAAATCCTTGCAGCATCCTGATGAGGCAGATGGTGCGATGAAGCCCCCAGCATGTTGCTTCGAGCAGGCAGGGCTGGGAGCCTCCCCTCAGAAAGATGTGCCATCACATTCCACAGTCGCATTTGTAATTCGGAGGGTGACAAGTATTTTGTGCCCTGATCGTGCAGTGCATGAATCTGCATGATTTAGACTTGCTTCTGTCATGCATCAGGTGCCACTATGGTGAGTGGGGAATGAGAAGAACGCTAAACTTCTCCCTGAAAGACAGATGGCATCCAAAGCCCTAGCAAATGGCTCTACACATGGAAATGAAGTAAATCACTTGTTCCTGAGCAATGTGAATCAAGCTGAGCCATACGAATGTTTCATACAAGGGAGCTGATTTCCTTTTTGTTGTTTTTTTTTTTTTTTCCTGTGCTTTTTCCCTAGAGAGTCTAGCAAAGTTTAAGAAGATCTCTGACCTTGTGCCTCCATTTCCTGACACCTCTGCAGGATATAGTCATTTCCGATCACTGTGAAGGAAAACTAACAGAGATGCAATGAGGGAAAGGCTAGAAAAAAATTGGAAGTTAGCTGAAACTTTTAATATTTTCATGTGGATGAATGTTTCATGACATTTTCCTGCATTTTTCAACAAGTTCTATGTATAAAGCCTCATAATAATTTTGAAAAAACATCCTAAATAATAAGTCAAAATAGAACTAAGAAACAAATACTGAGTATGGTTTACTGGAAATAGCCATGCACCAGATGCATATATGGCCAGATATTGCATATAGTAAGTTTTGTGTATAGACAAAAGGAATTTCTTGGTTTTGATTAATTTTCCTAGAATTATTAGGCAACCTGTAAGAAGTCTGGTCTGTCAAAAACACCTTAAATTATTTAATGAGAAGCACCACCTGAACATGTTGTCAAGGAGTTAATCATGCTGCATTCTACCATATGTTAAGTACTATGCAATTTAGCTTCATAAATATACTCAAATGGAAATGGCTACATTCCTCTAGTGCATAATTTTCCATTCATATTTTCTAAGGTAAGACATGTGTCTCTTCACATAGCTAGCATCATGATTATATATCATTGTTTTATGTGTATGGGAGGGAACTTTACTGAAGACCTTGGGGCAAGTTCCCACAAAGCTGAAACTGGCACAAGTACACTCACTAGAAAAGGTGTGTCAGTCAACAGGAGGAAAACATGATTGAAAGAAAAATCTGTTAATGCTTTACACTAATGTTTATGAAATTATCTGCATGAAAGAAGACAAGTACTTTGGCTAATTAGGAATCAGGGGAAGTATAGGTTTTGTGTCAGACTAGACTGAGAATTGAATAAATTACTCTTGCATTTAATTGACATGTCAGGTTAACTAGCCGAAGTGATGCCTAAGGATTTACCTATGGATTCACCTCTTTGATTTCAGGACTCAGTGCAAATTTAATTCTTTTAAGCTTTGAAGTGAACAGCATTGTTTGCTGGTACTGCCTTTCATTTTTTTAATTCAGATGTAGCTGCAGAAATAGAGCTGAAAAGTGATAGATCTGGAAAACTGCATGGAAATTTGATTGTGGGAGTTTTTTTCCCTCCAGACATTTGCAGTGCTAGTATGAAGGATCTTTATGCATGATGTAGTGAAAAATATAGTTTAAATCTTTATGGGGAACATAGAAAAACCTGTGATCTCCATAAACAGCTAGATGCAAAAACAGGGAGCAAAAATAGGGTTCTATATGAGTAATGTGATTTTAATCTTTTTTAAAGGACAGAAATGTACATATATGCATATAAGCAAATGACATAGTTTGTTTTTGGCAAAATAATCAATTTATAGTGGTTTTCAGCAAAGAAAGTGGTTTCTAGAGATGTAAAATATTTAATTTGCAATAGAAAAAGCAAAAGACCCAGGAACAATGTGTATGATCCTATAACTCTGGTTTTTTTCCTTATTCTTTATAAGAAATCCCCTTCCTATTCCTTAAGGCAGATTGTGCTAATGGTGACTGTTCTATTGAACCTGTTTTTAAAACAGGTTCAGATCAGATTAATTTGTTTTAGTTTCCCATTGGTAATTGAGATGAGTTTTAGAACAACATGTTGTTTTTTGGCTACCTTAAAATCGATCATGGCCTAATGACATTGTATAAAAGTACCTGCATATGTTTGCATCAAGGAGGTTGAGAATGGTGCTATATGGGACTGGCTCTTTTCTCATATTTGTGTAAGATGAATTTGTTGCAGTCAGAAGAGGTATACAGTGTAAAGCTGATGCAAGTGTGATAAAAACCAAGTGAAATACACTTTGCACTACAGTGTTAAAAAGCCATCTGAAGACATACAAGTTGTTTCCCTGTGGTTCCAAGTCAGCACAGGATTTTGGCAAAGGGCAAAGCTCAGTAACTCAGGACCTTATTCAAATAAGCATAGCTACTGCTGTCAGTGCTGGAGGTGGTTAATGGGATCACATATTGAGGACTTTGTTGAATAAGATTGCTTTCATCACTTGAAACCTGTTAAATAATGACTAGCTCCCACAAAAAAATCCTCACAGTTCTGCAAATGTGACTGTTGTGAGACAATTTCTGTACTGTTCCTGCTGTATAAATGCCTTCTGAGTACACCTGACGAGCTCATCTTCTGACCTGGAACATAGTTGTGCCCTGTACAGCACACACTTTACATGTCTCCTGTTTAAACAGCATCCTTCATAGCCAACGGGAGGCCAACTCCATACCACCTGTGGAATGGCATGTGAAGATGCTTTTCTGCCCATTTTGAGCTTTTCTGGTGCGTTTCACAATATTTTTAATAGTGCCATTTTTTCACTATTTGCCCTGCACAGTGAGCGAATTCTTTCTGTTGTTCTTTCACTTGAGAAAGAGAGAAGGAGGGAAATCTTTTAAAAGTAAAGGATGGCATGACTGTGGAGCTCCTGGTTTGTCAGGGAGCCTCCTGAGCAGATGTGATATATCGAGCTACTTCAAACTTTTTGTCTTTTTTTATTGAGTAGATGCCAAGTTGAGAACATGCAATTAATTCCAAATTGCACTTTCTGTGTTCAACATATCCCTTCTACTCTTAGCATGGATGGCTGCATAGGTGAACACAGAGCCCATTCAGTGCTGAGCATAA